ACCGGGGCTGCCCTGATTCTTCCTTTTGATAACTCCCCAAATCACACTTACATAAATGCTCTTTTGGCTGCAAGTGCCAGAATTCCAATTTAAATTAGCTTAGGCAAAAAAGGTTAAATTCATGATAGCAGTACAGGATGCTTGCTCTGTTTGTCTTCTCTGTTCTGTCAGCCTCATTCTTCCCTCTCACTATTTTTCTTCATATAATAGAAGCGTGACTACTGATACTTCCTGACCTTTTCAGCTTACAACAGTCTGCCTGCAGAGAGACCATCTCAACTTTCTGGTCCCCAAGTCCAAGACCAATGGGAAATGGTTCATTGACTCAGCTTGGGCCACAAGCCTTCTTCTAGATCAGTCAACTGTGTAGAGAGGAGGGAGAGATGTGTGTGTGAAGTAGAATATCATTGTAGGTCTTGAGAGAACAATTTGATGGGATGAAGGAAAGGGGTTCTCAGAAGAAGGAGGCAGTCCTGAGAAAAGAATTGAATCTACTATAGTATTATTGGGGGGAAAAAGTATGAGAATAGGACTAGATGATGAATAGGAACTAATGTTGGACGTTTTATATGAGGTAAAGGGAGAAAAGAAAGTTTGGGCATTCCATTGAAAAAGTAAGGAGACATTTATGTGAGACTTTAGATAAACAGACATAATCAAAATGTCAACCAATATTGTGCCTAACTTACTTTCAAATACTTCAGTAAAAAACAAATAGATAAAAATGGCACAATGTTAATATTAAAACTCAGTGATGGATATATTGAGGTTCATTATTCTAGTCTTTATATTTGAAAATTTTTCATTATATAATGAAAAAATTAATCAAATTCCAAAGTGGATCACTAAAAAGAAGTAAACAGGCAAAAAATTAGTCAACTCAGATAAAGAGATTTCACAGACTTATAGATATTAGAAATGAAAAGGCCTTTAAGATTCTACAATGCTACAATGCAGTCTTTTTTAGACTTTGCTCCTGGTTCTGCCACTAACAGTGTATGTTTGGATAAATCACCAAAATTCTGTGAGACTTAGATATTTTTATTTGTAAAATGAGAAGACTGGTTTAACTGATCTCAGAAGTTTGTGAGTTGTGTCAAACTCACTCAAAACTAGCATTCAGGTGTCAAATCCCGCAGGTGAGAAAAGAGTATAAAAAAGTAAGTCAACCCCACTTTCCTGGCATTCAGGACTCTTCAGCTCTGGCTCCAGCTGAACTACTGTCCTCTACACATTTTTTTTCCTCCCTCTACACACTTTTTACCCCAGCCATTTCTTCTGTGGGAATGTCTCCCGTCCTGTCTCTAACTCATGAAATCCTTTTGCTCTTGTAAGGCCCATCTCAAATATTGCCACTTTCATAATATCTTACTGAATTCCTTAATAAGATTTGACATCCCTGCTCACTAGATCCTATATTGCTTTATGAACTTGTCATGTGGAATACACCAGATTTTACTTTTTATTATCTTTTTGGTCTTTTAATTATCTTTGAAAAATATTTTCCATTGAACACCAATAAAAATTAATTTATATAAAAAAAAAAGAAAAATATTTTCCTTTCTACTACATTATTAACTCCTGAAGAGGAGGGATCATGTCTTTTAAAATTCCATATTCTCAAAGCATTAGCACAATAACTTACATAAAGGAGATTCTCAATAATACTCGATTCATTGTAAAAGGTAGAGAAAAATGCACGCAAAACCGTGAGTCAGCTTTTTGCTACCAAACTCTTACTGGCATAAACTAACCCTGTTTCTGAAACTATGAGGAGAGAATATGATTAGCAATTTTCCAAATAAACTTTTGTTGTGATAAGATTTCCCAGAAAGCTAAAACCCGGAAGAAAATGTCAGTCAAGATTTCCTTTTGTTGGAATTGTGATTATTTGGCATGTTTCGTGCTATCTAGAGGTTAAAGTTGGGATCACTATTTTTTTTTTTTTTTAGATTTTATTTATTTATTCATGAGAGACACACAGAGGGAGAGGCAGGGACACAGGCAGAGGGAGAAGCAGGCTCCATGCAGGGAGCCCGATGTGGGACTCGGTCCAGGGACTCCAGGATCACACCCTGAACTGAAGGCAGGTGCTTAACCGCTGAGCTACCCAGGCATCCCGAGATTACTATTTTTTTTTTTAAAGATTTTATGTATGTATGTATTTATTTAGATTTTATGTATTTATTTGAAAATGAGAGAGCACAAGCAGGGAGAATGGCAAGCAGAGGCAGAGGGAGAAGCAGGCCCCTGCCAAGCAGGGAGCTCAATGCAGGGCTCCATCCCAGGACCCTGGGATAATGACTTGAGCTGAAGGCAGATGTTTAATTGATAATCACCTAGGTGCCCCTAAAGTTGGATTATTGCCTCCACTGCAGGTTCTTAAGTTAGGCAGCAAATATACAAGGAACAACAGCAAAACGAAAGGCAATGCTCTAGGTATCTGAACAATGATTTGCTACCTCTGAAGGATTCTGGTAAATCCTCAAATGGAGGGCATGATTTATGCTTGGAGTTGCTGAGCCTCTGCTAGGGTCTGTAGTCTGCAGGAAGTTGAAGAGTGAGTCGTTGACTGAGCACTGCTAACCTGGTGGCATGTAGTGATTCTGACTGTTAGTGAAGTGTGGCCCAATGAATGTGTGGGGCCTGAAATTACTTTAGCAATTTCTGCTGTCTTGGTTTTATGTATGTGTGGATGGCCTGATGGAGGTGAAGAATGGTATTGACAAGAATTGTCTTAGCATAAGAGACACGAATCTCTCTTTTCCTCAACACAATTTAAATATTTTGGATGATTTATTTCAAGTCATTTTTTGTTTGCTTAGCTAAATTAATTATGTCATTAGTTTAGAGGAAAACATGTATGCTCATGATATATAGTTAATTCTTGCTTATCCTTTTATTTCATTGCAATTTAATGCGGAAAATATACCTACACAGTGTCATTCTGAAGTGATAATTAAGAATGTACCCAGGTATTTTCAAATTAAAGATTAATTTTGTAATTTGTGACAATTCTCTGCAAAGCTTTGGGAAAGATTTTGGAGATGTCGTCTATTTTTTATTTTATTTTATTTTAATTTTTTTGATGTCTATTTGGATGAGATTTCTATCTCATAATTGAATGCATTCTGTTTGCGTTTCTTTCAGTTTTTTTTGTCTTAACATTAATGCAAGGCTCACAAACTCATAAATCAGTTGCTTTTCAAGTGAACAAAAAAATGACATTCTCGTGGCTAGTGCAGATGGTAAATTTATTTTCTATTGTGCTTTGTTTGATCAGTCTAGAATCTAACAAGCATTCTGTAAGAAGCGATCCCCAACAATTGTTAGGAGAAACACATATACATTCCAGTCACTCCGTCCCCTCCTTATTAGTGAAATTGTTTTATGTATTTCAGTACTTATCTCTATAGGAGGAAAAACAATAATTTTATAGCACCAAGTTAGCACACGTTCATAAATATTACCGATATTAAAGTTTGTATATTTCCTAGTAGCATCAACAACTTCTTACTACCTGGATAACCTTTCTTCCATTCATTCAATAAAAATAAATTGAAGGGCTTAGGGGGACCAGGGTTCTGCTAGATACTAGAAATATGATAAAACACAGAGCACGACTTCTGCTCCTTGGAGCTCACAATCCAGCTAAGACAAACAGAAAAAGTCATTACAGGGTGCTTTGAAGAAAGAATGCAGGGTGCAAAAGGAGCAAAAGGTCAATTACCCAGGCTGTGGTTCACCAGGATTTCTTGATTCTTCTTTCATTTCAAAATTGAAGCAAGCAAGCGAGGAGACAAGCTACAGTAAATGATGGTATGCATGCATACGTATCTTCCAGGAAGAGCATTATTCAGTCAAATATTGTTCGTTCTCAGTTCACCTGCCAGGAAGGTTTGTGTGCCTACCAGGTATTCGTGATGCCCCTCCACCCCCACCCCCCCCCCCCCCCCCCCGGGCCATCTTCTTCTCAAATCCTTAAAGAGTAAGGAGGGGCGCGGAAGGAATGACAACGTGGACATGGATCGATTCGGTTTTTCATGTCTCACGGGAATAAAACTGGTTGGCGAGCTGCTTCTGCTTCTGTGGGCTGGAGTATCAGAAGCAAGAGCAGGGTAAGAAAGCCACGGCCTTGTGCGGAGCAGAGTTCAGGGTCTAATTCCTGTTGCCTTATCAGCCTCCAGTTATACCTGCAGGAGGAGCTAATATCATCCACGGAGTCCAGAGCTAGGGAACTGGGGGGCCCTGACCTGCAAAATGTCAGGATAAAGTACAGAAAGGCTGGCGGGGGGTGGGGTGGGGGTGGGGGTGGGGGTGGAATAGGCAATTGTCCTTTTCGAAGTCTCACGCTTTGTGGATATTGGGGTGTCACCGATTCACTGAGTAAGGGTGGCTCGGAGATGGGGGTGAGGGCTGAGGAAAAGATCCAAGGACTGAGCTCTTAAAACGAGGCATTTACCCATGTCACAGTTTAAAAGATGCTGATGGTCCAGGCGGTGGTGGGAGATGGTCTCAGACCGGCTGTGAAGCTTCCCCAAAGCTGCATTTTTTATTTTTTATTTATTTATTTTTATTTTTAAGGCCAGGTAGCGTCTCCCACGCCGCGGCTAACGTCCTCGCGGGCCGCGGAGGCCAGCAGGCGTGTGCGCGGCCGCCCCCTGCGCCGCGGCCCCGGCGGGCGCGCTCCATCCCGCCCGCGCCGCGCGCCCCCGCGGAGCCCGCCGGAGGGCGCGCGCGCGCACGACAGAAGGGCGCGCTCCCGCCCGCCGCGAGCGCGCGCTCCCCCCGCCCCCTCCCGCCCCCCCCCGCCCCCTCCGCCCCGCGCGCCGGTCCTCGGCGCCCCCGCCCTTGCCGCGCTCCCACAGCCCGAGCGCCGCTCAGCTGACCGGCGGGCGCCAGACGCCGCGGCTTCCAGTGCGCGAGCGCAGCTGCGGCGGCGCGAGCCTCTCACGCCGACACTCCCCCTGCGCGCCCCTCCCCCAGCCGGGAGCGGGAGCGGGAGCGGGACCGACTGGGCGCGAGCTCGCGGCCGCTTCTCCGGCGCCGAGCGAGGAGCGGGGAGCGGGGAGCGAGGCTGCGGTGACGAGCGGCGGCTGCGCGGCCATGGGCGCGCCGGTGTCGCCCTAGGACAGGCGCGCGGAGACCGCAGCCAGGGCGGCGAGCCCTCCCGAGAGGCGGCGGCGGCGGCGGCGGCGGCGGCGGCCGGAGCAGCGGCCGGGATGAGCGGGAGCGGCGCGGCGCCCGGCCCGGGCTCGGGCTCCTCCCCGGCCGCCTGCCGCTTCGCGCACTACTTCGTGCTGTGCGGGATCGACGCCGACAGCGGGCTGGAGCCCGACGAGCTGGCGGGTAAGGCCGGGCGACGGCGGCGCGGGGGGTCCGCTCAGGGACGCCGCGGGGACGCGCGGGAGGCGGGTTCCGGACAAAGTCGGCTCCCGGCGGCGCCCGCTCTCCTCCGGACCGGCGCCCGGGCGGCGGCGATTTAATGACATTGTTATCTATGCCGCGTGCAGGGTGCGCTGCCGAGCCGGCGGGCGTCGCGCCGCTGAGGGAGCCCGCCCGAGGCCTCCGCCTCGCAGGCGCGGGGTTATTAATAACGGGGGCGGGGGCGGGGGCGGGCTCCGGGCACGGCCTCCCGGGCACGGCCCCCGCGGCCGCAGCTGCTCGCGGAGGCGGCCGGCGGGGGGGGCCCGGCGCGCGCTGCCTCCCGGGCCTCGCCGCGAGCCGGTGCATCCTCCCGCCTGCCCCCGCGCCCCCCTCCCCCCTCCCCCCCCCCCCCCCCGAGCCTCTCCGCCCGGCTGCGAAGTAGTTTCGGCCGCGGCACGTGACGCGGCGCTCTGGCTCGGGCTCGGTCCGGGGAGAGGCGCCCGAGACCGCGGCTGCGGGGGCTGCGGGGGCGGCGGGGGCCCTGCGCGGCGAGTGCGGGCGGGAGGCTGCTTGGACTGCATCCCCGACCGTCCCCGGTGCGCGCCGCTTCCCGCTCCCCGCTCCCCGCCTCGCGCTCCGCGGTGGCGGTCGGTCACCCTCCGGAATCCTGTCCCTCCGGCCGCGTCACGGGCGCTGGGGAGGACCTTGGAACGCTTGAGACTCCCTCCGCTCGACGCGTTGCGGACAGCACCTGCACCGTTGCTGACTTGAGGAGGTGGCCGTCCCCCTCCGTGGGGGGCACCGCGTGGGTTACTACTGCTCGGCTCTTCCCGCAGGGGCACCGGCCGGGCCCTCCTCTGAACCCATCTGATGGCGCAGTGCAGGGCTGAGCTGGGAGCCGATGCTGGGGAAGGAAAGGAAGGGGCCGTGAGGGGATGACGGGGAGGGGTGGCGGGTAACGAGTGCGCAGGGCCGGCCGGAGGCCGAGGGGAACAACCCGCTTCATTTTTCACGCCTCTTTTCGTTCTGGGCCTTCTTGGGATCTGGATCTTGATTTTCGGTGGTGGTTGTTAATGGGCGAGACAAGTGACACCTATCGCCTGGACTTTATCTGTGTCAGCGTTAAAACACTTGGGTCATAGTCTTTCAGAACGGCTCGCTTTGGACGTGGCATGCCTTATTGCTGGCACCAGTGTGTGTTTTTGTCTTCCCCTTTACTTTTTTGGGGGGTAGCAGAGGAGACTGGAGAGACTGTATTAAATAATAATAGTAAACAAATGTGTTCAGCTCTAAGACGCAGTGCTGATCAACCTGTGTCTTAGCCGAGCGAGCACCTTTTTAAGCCAGGCTCACAGCAAAAACATTTTCAGCAAAAACTGTGTGTCTAGTTTTAAAGACTTTTGGAAAAGAGGAATTAAGTACCAGGATTTTCTGCGTGTGTAATTATAGAACCATATTGTCTCTTGAACTGAGATTTCACGTACACGTGAAGAATGGCTTTGTTAAGGGATATCAAGTTAGAAAACATGTCTGCAGAGAAATTCGGAGAGAGTCCTCTTTTGAGATTGAAGAATCCCTTTTATTTATTTATTTTATTTATCCTTTTTATTTTTATAGAGCCCTTTCTCCCTGAAACATCCTAATCACTTGTAGTACCGGGTCACTTGGAGACGTTTTGTCAGTAGTGACTGAAGAAAGGAAAAAGCCTGTATTTTTTTCTTTTCTATCTCAAGTCTGTATGCCTAGTAAAGCTAAAACAACACCTGTAGGTGTAGTGCAGATGGCTTTAACAAAATTAAGCAGTAAAAAATTAATTTTTGATTCGTTTTTTGGACACTGGCTTCTCCGCTTGGAATACTATGCATAACTGTGAATGCTTGTTTTAGATTTACGCTCATGATATTTGGTATTTTGAAATAATAGTAATTTTTGTCTGATAATATTTTAGTATCAGTGATTCATTTAACAAAAAATTTTGAAAGCCTTAAGGTATAGATTGTGTTCTAGGCATCGAGGACAGCTGTGAACAAAGCAATAAAAAATCCCTGCCATCGGGACACCTGCGTAGCTCTGCGGTTGAGCGTCTGTCTTCAGCTCAGGGCGTGATCCTGGGGTCCAGGGATTGTGTCCCGCATCAGGCTCCTTGTGGGGAGCCTGCTTCTCCCTCTGTATCTGTCTCTGCCTCTCTCTGTCTCTCTCATGAATAAATAAATAAAATCTTTAGAATAATCCCTGCCATCATAGTGCTTATGTTCTAATGTAAACAAATAATGAAAATATATAGTTTGCTAGATGTCAATAAGTGCTATGAAGAAAAATAAAGCAGGGAAATGAGATGTACCAGCAGAATGGTGAGATTGTCGGGTTGCAGATTATTTATTTTTATTTTATTTTATTATTTTATTATTATTATTTTATTTTTTTTAAAGATTTTATTTATTCATGAGAGAGAGAGAGAGAGAGAGAGAGAGGGGCAGAGACACGGGCAGAGGGAGAAGCAGGCTCCATGCAGGGAGCCTGATGTGGGACTCAATCCCGGGTCTCCAGGATCAGGCCTCGGGCTGAAGTCGGCACTTAACGGCTGAGCCACCCAGGCTGCCCCTGGTTGCAGATTTTAAATGAGATGGTTAGGGAAGGCCTCACAGAAAACGTGACCTTAGAAAAGAACCTTGACGGAGATGAAGCAACTTGTGTGGATTGTCTTGGGGAACAGCACTGCAGGCAGGGGAAACGGTGCATTCAGAAATGAGGTAGGAGAGCGCCTCATTTGTGCAGGTAACAGGAGGCCAAGGTAGAGCTGAAGGAGGAGAGAGTAGTAGATACAATCATAGAGAAAAGGGTAAGGGAGGTTGTGTAGGGCCTAATAGACATTAGGCTTCTTGCCTAATAGACAGTTGTTGAACTTCTACTCTGAGACAGGAAGCAACTGGGATGTTGTGAGCAGTGCAATAATGATACTTGATGTACTCTCTAAAAGGCTTGCTGGACTGGCTTGTTGATGAGACTGTTAGAAGCAGTTAGAAGCTGTTGATAAGACTGTTGGAAGGTTAGAAGCAGACTAGCTAGGAGGCTCTTTTTTGCTTTGTGATGTAGGAGGTGTTGGTGGCTTAGACCAAGGCGATAGCAGTGAAGTGGTGAGAAAGTGGATGTATTTTGGAGGTAGAGCCAGCAGGACTTGCTGATGAATTGGATAAGATATTCATATTCAAAGAAAGTGATCAAAGATGACCTTAAGATTTTTGGCCTAAACAATTATAAGCATCTCTATTTACTGAGATAAGACTGATAGCGAAGCAGGCTGGAAAAGATTAGTTCAGTTTTGGACATGTTACATTTGAGATATCCATTAGACATTCAAATGGAGGTGTCAGGTGGGCAAGACCTCTCTCAGGGGTCAAAATTTACATGTAGACATAAATTGAAAGCCATGAAATTAGATGGCATTACCCAGGGAGTGAGTATAGATAGAAAAGAGAAAAGGCTCAAGAGTTGAATCCTAGGGATAATCCAACATTCAGGGGTGAGGATGAAGAGGAAATTGAAGAAATTAAGAAGCATGGCCAGTAAGATGAGAGGAAAACAAGAGAATGTAGTGCCACGTTCCCAACTAACAGTCTTCTTGACTGTTTCCACAGAGCTTCATTTGGGGATGTGGAAACAAGGCCAGTGAGTTAGGCAAATTTGTCAGGAGGTTGTTTCTGTTTTGCTGCATTAATTTCAAAGTTAAATATAGTTAAGTTTCTATTTTACTTTTATGGAACTGATCTATTTTTATCACACTGTTTCTTAGCAAGTTGTCACCTCGCCTGTAGAAGGTCTAAGTTGACTTCTATTAAACATGAATTCTACTGATTGCTTTATAGACTTTTTTTTTTTTAAGATTTTATTTATTTATTCATGAGAGACACAGGGAGAGAGGCAGAGACACAGGCAGAGGGAAAAGCAGGCTCCAATGCGGGGAGCCCGATGCAGAACTCGATCCCGGGTCTCCAGGATCATGCTCTGGGCCGGAGGCAGGCTAAACTGCTCAGCCACCCAGGCATCCTATAGGCTTTTTCTTAACGTATGTATGTTCCTGGAATTTATACTCTGCAGGTGGTGGGGCATTGAAATAAAATTAAGGACGCAAGCCATATGATGAAGTAACAATTAAATGGACTAAAACTTTATGATAAAGTTATTAGGGCTTTATTCTTTAGAAAATCTTTTAAGATTTTATGTATTTATTCATGAGAGACACAGAGAGAGAGAGGCAGAGACACAGGCAGAGGGAGAAGCAGGCTCCATGTAGGGAGCCCGAAGTGGGACTCGATCCTGGGTCTCCAGGATCACACCCTGGGTTGCAGGTGGCCCTAAACCGCTGAGCCACCAGGGCTGCCCTATTAGAGCTTTAGATTTTTTCTTAGATACTCCTTGTAGTAAAGCCTAGCTTTACCAACAGTGGAAAAGACTTCTTTTATATTTAATGTATATACACATACACATGTATGAAATATGCATATATATACAAAATATATGTGTATGTACATATACATATGAAATATTTACATCTGAATTATATATATACATATGAAATATACGTGTGTGTGTATATACACACACACACACCCAGATATGCTGGTATTTCCTATTGTCCTTTCTTTTTTTTTTTTTTTTTTTTATTCTTTATTTATTTATGATAGTCACAGAGAGAGAGAGAGAGAGAGAGAGAGAGAGAGAGGCAGAGACACAGGCAGAGGGAGAAGCAGGCTCCATGCACCGGGAGCCCGATGTGGGATTCGATCCCGGGTCTCCAGGATCGCGCCCTGGGCCAAAGGCAGGCACTAAACCGCTGCGCCACCCAGGGATCCCTCCTATTGTCCTTTCTTTAGTTCATCTTAGCTATTATGCTTCTCCTATACACTGTATATTTTTAAAATGCACTTTATCCATAAACAAATGTCCTTTAGATATTAAAGTAGAAATATTTACATTTTTTAACA